TCTTTATGCTCACCAAGGCTGCATTTGATGAAAAAATACAGCAAAAACAGAAATATTGTGAAACATTTTTATAGTTTAAAATAACTTTTTACTATTTTGATATATATTTTAAATGTATTTATTCCTGTGATGCAATGCTGAAGTTTCAGCAGTGTTTCCAGTGTCACATGATCCTTCAGAAATCATTCTAATATGCTGATTTGCTGCTCAAGAAACATTTATAATTATTATCAATGTTTAAAACAGTTTACTGCTTAATATTTTATGGAAATCTTGGATTCTTTGATAACTAGAAAGATCAAAAGAACAGCATTTATTTGAAATAGAAATCTTTTGTAACATTATAAATGTCTTCACTCTATATTGTCACTTTTGATCAATTTATCGTGCCTTACTGGAAAAAATGTATTTAATTAAAACAAACTGACTGATCCCAAACTTTTGAACGGTTGTGTAGTTGTATAACAGATCAGAAACATGTTCTCATGAGATTCACGACATATTCTTGAAAATGTAAAAACTGACATAGCAGTTAAGTAATTAAAGCAGCACTACGTTGTCTGGCGCTCTAGCGGTTAATAAACAGAACAGCACACATCCCGCGGAAGAACATTCTAACCGGAGCTACTTCTCTAAGTTTATGTCTATGGCGATTCACGCAGGTATGTGTTACTCCGCAGCGGTGACGACCCGACCAGACTACAATAGTCCAAATATAAGTACTTATTATAAGTGTACCGTAGTGATTCGGTTTAAGATAAAAACGCGGTTTGGAAGAAGAATTCATGATGTACTCGCTCATTATATACATTTTGCACATTTTGAACACAGAAAAAGTTATATAGTGCTGCTTTAAATATAGATCTGTTAAGCAATTGCAACTTCTATTTTAAGGAACATAGGCAATCTTTGACTAGTATGATTAAAACTGACATTTGTTCTTTTGTTTAGTGTATTGTCACTTTTGATAAATTTATTGTGCCTTACTGGAAAAAATTTATTTAATTCAGACAAACTGACTGATCCCAAACTTTTGAACGGTTGTGTAATTGTATAACAGATCAGAAAGTGTACTTACCAGTGCAGTCAGTTGAAGAGAAAGGCTGTCTTTTTGAAGAGGTTAAGCAATATGTGTCATATGGATTCTTTTTTTAACTGACTGTTGTTTCCCTTTTCAAGCTTCAGAATGCTTCCTTATTTCCCTTCAAATGAAACAAAATTGATGCATGAATTGAATCTGTGTGCCGTAAAGGGATAGTTCACCCAAAAAAATGACAATTCTACTGACTTTCATCATTTACATTGTTGTTTTGGACCCCACTGACTTTCATTGTATGGGCGAAAACAATGAGACACCTTTCATATCTTCCATGGAAAGAATTTTACTTGGATGTACATGGCTGTTTTTTGAATGGAGAAAGACACTTTTTATAGTAAGATGGTGAAGCTTCATCATTGTGTTTCTTATCTTCAACGATATTATATGTTACAACAACTTGCAGAAAATTATTACAAAGTAAAAATAGGCAGCCATATTGTGCGACTGAACCAAACCAAAATATAAAACATAAAAAAAATAAAGAATAGTAAACACTCAACTCAATAGCAATTCTTTCTCAATCTTACTTGATCCAATACATCAGATCTATCATCTTCAGTTGTAACAGTAACTTTGTGACCATTGCCGGCAGATCTTAACAATAACCTGATCTGCAAACACTCAGGAGTCTGTTTGTCCTGTTTGCACAGCTCTCCAGCAATGGCTAAAATCCCGCTAATCAGCTCTACAGACACCATGAGTACACAAGGCCAGACTGGCACTCATCGCTGGCGGAGCAGAGAGTGCATTAGTATGCCATGGAGAAACACGGCGACTGTGAGTGGACACTCCAGCAATTAGATGCATAGCACTTTGTGTGAACCCGCAGAGGTGCCAGTGCTCATATTCTGCTCAGCACCTGGGGGCAGCTTTCATGCATTGCTTTCCAACCGCTGCTACGTGTTCCACATACAGATCGGCCCATTATTAATTTTAAATGTGTTGTATCCATGCCACAGTCAGTTTGGTATTTCTGATCAGTAGGGATGAGGTATGGAGATGAACAAGGCACGGTTCATTATCTAGGCGTGTTTTACTCTGTAATTTGTTGTTTGACGTGCATTGTGTCAGTGCTGGTGTTTAGCTGTTATTTTTATGTGTGGTGGACCTCTTAAGTTTGAGATCAAAGTGTTTGGACTTTGTGTTCTAGAAACTCTTTCTGATTGCATAAGACTGTGTAAGAGAAGCACTCGTGCCTGGCCTTAGACACAATCAAACCTCATGAGATGTGCTGCTGCTATTACTTCCTTCTACATATGAGCAAATCCTTACACTTAACAATGTTAGTAAGGAGTCACAATAAATACAATCTTGACAATGATTTCCAGGTCGCATCCTGCACTTTTTTTCACCTTTTCCACCCTTCATGATCCTGTGGGGTATCTGAGCCTGAGGAGGTGTTGAATTCTGCCGGGGGGCGTAATGTTTGAGCTGTGAGGATGAGCTTCAAGCTCTTGAGGAATAATGGACTGCAATTCAATAGTATTGGTGCTTTGATTAGAACTTTGCTTTTGTATTGTGTGTGACTGGGCTTCCAGATAGCATATGATGATGAATAAAATTGATTGATGACTGGTGCTGACTATTATTTATAATGATTATTTTCTCTCGTTTTTAAACTGAGTGTTAATTTAGATTTCACAAAATGTCTGGGTCGTATTTCAACCTAAAATCAAAAGAAAAAAGTAAGTTATCTTTTATAAAATTATATTTTGCTTAGTGAAAATTAAGCATGTTTTAGTACCATTAGTAATTTTTTTTTAATTGGGACATTATTTTAATAACATTTAATCACATTTCTCCTCAGTTAATTTCTGCGCTACTGCAATGCAAATATATGAATAATTTAAATAATTAAAAATAACAATTTATTTTATACAAAAAAAAATTATATATATATATATATTTTGTATTATATATAGTGTTTATACATGATAGTGATAGCATTTACAATGTTTATTGAAAATAAAAAAGAATGCAATAAATACTCATTGCAGTAATGAAAAATTCATAATTTTCTGGATGCAAAATATATCTATTTTTTATTTTTTTCCCCAGTTTTTGGGAGGAAATGTGACTTGAACATGTTTTCATGAGATTCACGACATATCCCTGAAAATGTAAAAACTGACATAACAGTCAAGACTTTAAAGCAGCACTATGTAACTTTTGGCGCTGTAGCGGTTAATAAACAGAACTGCACACATCCCGCGGAAGAACATTCTAACCGGAGCTACTTCTCTAAGTTTATGTCTATGGCGATTCACGCAGGTATGTGTTACTCCGCAGCGGTGACGACCCGACCAGCCTACAATAGTCCAAATATAAGTACTTATTATAAGTGTACCGTAGTGATTCAGAATAAGACAAAAACGTGGTTTGGAAGATTAATTCATGATGTATTCGCTCATTATATACATTTAGCAAATTTTGAACAGAAAACGTTACATAGTGCTGCTTTAAATATAGATATGTTGTTGAACTTGAAATTAAACAATTGCAACTTCTATTTTAGGGAACATAGGCAATCATAGCTTTGACTAGCATGATCAAAACTGACATTTGTTCTTTTGTTTAGTGTATTGTATAACTAAGGTTTTGAAATATGTAGTAGGCCTATATGTGTTTACTCAACCATCTTGTTTTGGATCTTTAAACCATCAATGGCAGCACTGTGGAGAATTACATAGATCTTTATTGAAGTGAGAAGGGAAACCCAAGACCTGTTTAAAGTCTCATTAATCTCTTTTTAAAGCCCAGGCCAGAGACTGCTCTTTTGCTACTTTAAAAAGATGCCCTTCATAGCTCAATTAGTCTGTCCTGATTCCCAAAGAAGCATTTATTTAATAAGGCAGAGATTAAAGAAACTAATTATAAACTTTTCATTTGTAACTGGGAGATGGACCCTGCAGCTGCCCATAAGAACGTGTTAATGAAGATGCAAAACTCTACCTGATGACTCATTCATCATCTGTTACTGTCCCTGCCCCATTCCAGAAATTGCATCACTTCACACATACTGTATGTCTAATCTGGATTAGCTAATTAGATGCTCTTGGACAAATGATTAACAATCTACATTTTACACAAGGAGGAAATACTAGATTATACAATGCCATATGCACTTAAACCCCCTTTTAATTGCACAGAATAATTTCCTTCTATAGGGTGTGGTTAAAGTAATCATGGAATCAAAACTGACCCTATTTATTCTTGTCTTACTGTGAATGATTCATTGGTGCACATTGAGCCAAATAAAAAATGTTCATAAAGAGATCCAATCAATTCCTGATGGAAAAAATCAAATCCTGCCCTACATTTCTTTTTCTAAATGACCAGTTTCACATACAGTACAGAAGTAACGTGGATTGGAAATGTGATTTCATGTTTCATCATAAGAATGTAGAATTTAGAAGACCAATAAATACAAAACAAACCGCCAACATTCAGAAAAAGGTCTATTATTTCATAGTTTTTAAAATAAATAACCAAAATTTCACAGAGAACGATTTTCATTAGTTGGTTTCTGTATGAACATGCCTTTTTTGTTTACAACTAATTCATCCAACTAATAATAATTGATCTGCTTGAGTATATCTGCTTAACAGTTACATGCTCATAGATCATTGACGCATCATTAATAAGCAACACAATGTACAAATATTACAATAAAACCCAAGTTCATCATAGCTTGTGACATCTGTCATGGGTAAACATGTCCATAACAACATAAATAGTGTTTCCACATTGTATATTTACAGTCACTTTTCATATGCACGTGTACATTCTTTCCATTTAGATGCACAGCATGCAGTTTCTCCATGTGCTTGCGGATAAAAATAATTATCCAAGAAGAATGATATTATAGAGCAACCGCAAAGGTGCAAAGTTCACTGTAAAGTTTTGGAGTGTTTTAAAAAAAAAAGCCACATGGTCAGACAGTTGCATTTATTACATTCAACTGTGCAGACGTTTGCGAAAGAACATTTTCATGCTGATATTTTTGCACCAGAAGCCACATTATATAGACTCAACTGACTGAAAAAAAATCACATTTAAAAAGACTAATTTGCTGTAGCTGTGACCAAGTGGTAGGCACATGTTTTTTGAGCTATGGTGCTCATGTGAGCGACACAAGTTTGAATCCGGCTTGCAGCATTTTTCTCCACATAAGTCTCTTTGAATAAAAATGTTCAAGACACTGATTGTGAATCAGTGACAGAATAAAAATGGGTATATAAATAATTAAAAATATATTTCATGAACAATTAGGTTTTGAGCTATTATAGTTGTGCAAGTTTGCATACATAATGACAGAAATATTTCATTCTTTTTAAAACAATCTCCTTTGCAACATTCACAGTGTATTGTACATGGACATTGCTTTGGAGGCTGTTGATTTCGAAACGTAAAGTCACAGTTCAGCATCTATCCGGGGTTGTTCCTCCTTTTCTTGCTTGGGCTCAGAGAAGTCTCTGGTTTGAGCTCTTTGTATTGAAACTGATGAGCATATTTTGCACAAACGTTGTAAATCATGCAAAATAATGAAAATACATCACTTGCAATACAATCACTTACCAGCTGGACATCTGATGGAACCCTAGACAGGAAGTCCAGCAGCTCGTTGTTCTCAATGATGTAGGGGTCCCGAAGTTTTTTGGTGAATTTATTGATACCTGTGTGGGACATGCATGTTCATATCCTACTAATATCCAAAACATTATACCCTTTAAATCATTAGAATGCAAGAACTCATCTTATGTATAGAAATGCATCTCTATTTAAAAGGTACTCTGCAATGATTCATTACAACAATAAATAATCTGACTAGTAAACCATTGGGAAAGTGTTTAATACACAAAAGCAATAGGAATTCTCACCCCAAACCAGCACAATGTATCGTAGTGGAATAAAGTATATTAGTGTGGCACCGGCACATAGAACCGTTATGGCTAACCAGCTCAGAAAAGGCACAGACCAGTTAAATGTGCTGAAAGAGAGGAACAGCATGATATACAACATACAAGCATGCATTCAGTACACAAAATTAATGCTACTAAAAAAGGAAACATTAAAGGTATGAGTAACATCCAAACTTCTCACTTCTTCACTCTTTCCCCAAAGCAGGCCACTTCATCCAGAGCATTTTGAACCGTTATGATCACATCTTGAACCGCGTAGAATTTGTCCAAGAAGCCCTTTTTCTCTGAGTCCTGTTGTTTGAACGCACAAGCACATGGCAAGTTATTCAACAGAATTCATTTTATTGTACATAGTTGCAGATTTTGAACAGTTGTACTTTGGTCTGTAGGAAATCTTCTAATACGGTAACATGAGTTGTTTAGTTGCGTTATGAGAAATGAAAGATGTGGGGGTGGGGAAGCTTTTGTTTGCTGTCTGGTGTCTCTTCTTTTTAGACTAAAAGGTTAGTTGGTGTAGCTTAACACAAAAGCAGCAAATCTCTAAACCCAACCGCAGCTTCATTAATATGGAAAAGAGGGCCTCTGAATGACACGATTCTTTGGAACCAAACAGAATAAATGTTAAACATTACATTTAAATTCATCTCAATCAAATGTCAAAAGTTGCATTTAAAATAGTGTAACTCAAATTCAAAATGTGAGCTTTCCATATCCTTTTGCTTGATTTTCTAACTGTTCTTAGTGTTTTTGAATACGCTTTGAGAGTTAATTTACAGTTTTCTTATGGGATAATAGATAAATATTATATTTATTTCCATAAATATAGAAATCTTGTTCATGTGGTGCATAAATAGATTTTCAATAGCAAGCAAAGTAGTTGGGCTGATTCCGTTTTCTACTAAATGTCCATATAATAAAATGTCCTAGTCCTTTCATAACAATAAGTTACTATAATAAAGATATTTGCTAATGTTTCTGAATAAAAATACAGTTAATTGTAAGTTAATAAAGCAGAGAGAGAGAGAGAGAGAGGGGCAGTTCATTGTAAGAATTTTATTTCATATATATTTAAGATTGTTATTTTTTAATAAATTAATATACATTTATTCAGCAAGGATGCATTAAACTGATTGCAATTGACAGTAAATACATTTATAATTTTACAAAAGATTTTAGAAGATTCTATTTCAAATAAATGAAACAACCTACGTTTTAAAATATCGGAATAGTTTCATTTTAGTTTTAATTTGTAAAAAATATTCTGCAATATTACTGTTTATATATACCAAAAAAAATGCAGCCTTGATGAGCATGAGAAACTTCTTTCAAAAAAAAAAAAATTTTAATTACACCATTTTATGGGGTATTTAATGTTTGATCTAGTAGATTGTCATGAATAATTTTTCAATAAATTATTAGTGATTCAAACCGTGCTATCTTGTGTTTTTCCTTGTTTGATCGTGGTCAACATTGCAACTGGTCAGATGGAAAATCAGTGGGACTGGCTGCAAGTTGTGTTATTCTTTCTCTGACAACTTACAGAGTCGGGGTTCAACAAATCAATTGTCCCCATAAATTAGCAGCAACAATTTCTGAAAGCTTGGAGAGTGATACCAACCCTTGCCGTATTTTCATGACCAGCCGGTGGTAAGCAAAGTGCAAACATATGTCCAGGCTTAGCCCGGGCCTATGAGGGGTCCTTATGAATGGAAAACAGGTGTCTGGGTCATTTGTGCCAAAATACCCAAATTAGCTCCCAAGGTCAAAGGTCAGGCCGCTAATGGCTGCCTTGTGGCGCACAAAGGGTTATGGGAATGCGAAGAACGGCTGGAGTTAAACATCTGGGATATGTTGCATATATTTGGCAATGCAAGCCTCAGGTGCAATTAAACTAAAGCACTGACACATATATTAAACTGTGTGTCCGTATGCCAATCTTTCAGCTGTCCCCGAGAGCTTCAGCTAACACACAAGACCACAAACGATAGTGCTGTTCTACATAGAAATGAGATGGAGGGTAGATTTCCTTCGGCAATGCTTGTCACCAAGTGATAAGAGGAGTCTAAATGAGTTGACAAGGAAATCATGAGGCTACCTTTCCACATAGAAATGCATGGTTACCTTGTCATCTTTGTCATATTCTTCATCCACATCCTCAAGAAGGTCCTCCATCGCTTGCTATCAGGCAACAAGAAAAATCACAAATGCAATCTTTTTAATATCTCAGTTGTTTCTGCTAGAATGAGAGCAGCAATGAGATCAAATGGAAAGCATATAGAAACTTTGCTCTCCTGCACTTCCTAAGAAATACACCCTAGAAATCTTCTAGAAATCTTCATGAGATGCTTCTGTTTTGGGAACTTCACTCAGATTTGCCAAGATACCAAAGTCTGCAAAAGTCGATATGAACTTGAATCTAAATAAGTATGAGATCTTCATGTCAACTTAAACATTTCTCATTAAATTCTTCCAAAATTAAATTATCTGAGCTCTTCTATCCGCATTAAATTTGTAGTAGGAATCTTTTGACAAATGCATCTTCATGACCTTTCCAAGTCACTAAATAAAACAATAACAATTGCAATTAAAATCATTTTTATCTGAATTTAAAAACTTTCGTTTGAATATTTTATACATTTTCCTGACTTTTCCAGTCCTGTAAATCACAATGTTATAACCATGAGAACCCTGTTTTATATACTCAATGTCAAGAACCATATCACTTGTATTTTTCTAATCAGTTTTTAAAGAAACATATGAGATAAAGAGGATATCTAAATAAATCATAACTGAGTCTCTTGAGCAATGAAAGATCAACCTCAGAGCAATAACGTTTTCCTCTGGGGAGTTTAGAATGTCATTTAAACACCCACGTTACATCACATACAGACTGATGACAATCTAATGGCAACTGTTCCGCCATTTATTAGCCATTAGGCCACATATGAAAACACATATACATACAGCTCACATTTGAGACAGACTGTATAGTAGTGTCCATCTCCTTCTGAATGTGAAAATGATTCTCTCTCAGTGTCTGTCATGTGTCCGTCAACTGAAATCGAGCTTACAAAAAAAGCAATAAAAAAACATTTAAATTCATGCTGGTCAATATGATAATTTCATATTTTAATTTGCAAAGTAGCGGAAAATTATTATTTTATTGTTTTGAGATTTATCTGATGCATATCGCTACTGACTCTTTGGCCGGATACTCCTGAATAAAAATTTAATTAAAATTTTGATGGCTTAATTGGGAAGCGAACACCCTCTCCAGAAATGCCGCTCACTGAAAGTCATCAGCACTCATTCCACGCCATTTTAACAATTAAAATTGAATCAATTTTCAGGGAGTTTTGCGCACACACTTAGTGTGATTGGCAACATTTCACGATGGCATGAAATTAGTTTGACACAATTTAATTGGAAAATGTGATAAGTAAATACACCAGGTAAGTGGAATGGCACGTTTAAGAGCTCCTATATCTGCGCTACTTTTAATTACCTGAAGTAATTGGAATAAAAACATTCAATTCCAGCTGTGCACAATAAACATGCACAATATAACATAACTGTTTATTAACCAGGAATTGTTGATGGTTAGTTCAAATAAAGAAAGATAGTTTAGGTAGGGCGAGACATTGCGATTTCCTGTGACGGCCTACGACAACCATGTGCTTAAAATGAGCTGGAGATAAATGTCACAAATTTAGCCCTCATTAGATTCGAGAGTCAACATCCATAAACACACTCACCACGCTTCCCTCGTGCGACTCCTTCCCCGAGGCCAGCAGGAAGTAATTCCAGGTCAGCAGCAGCAGCAAGGACAATGGAACCATGTAGATCTCGAAATTCCAAACCACCACCACAAAGATCTGAGCAATCACAACAAAAATAATATTCTTTATTAAAAGTATAATTTTATCGATTAATAGACGTCTTGCAATTCCATTTTCATTATAATAATTCCTTCATAATAAGTTACTATAACAACTGCTAATGGTTATAAATAAATATAGTTAACATTGAATATTTGATAAATAATAACATTTAAAGTGCCCCTATTATGGGTAATGAAAGGTTCATATTTTGGTTTTGGGAGTCCCCAACAACAGGTTGACATGCCTGCAAGGTCAAAAAACACTTTCATTGTCTTATAATATGCATTTATTTTTTACCTGATGCCGAGTTCACACTGCACGATTTTCAAAGACGTCACATCACTGTTGGTTTCACACTGAAGGACTATCTGGGATAGCATTCAGTTGTTGCTGTGTTCACACTGCATGATGGAACGACGACAGGAGGTTACACACTGCATGACTTTACAATAGGAAGAATCGCCGACAGCTCTGTCTGGTGCAGGGTTGCCAGGTTTTCGCTACAAAACCCGCCCAATTACTACTCAAAACTAGCCTGAAAATAGCCCAATTGCTTTCGAGGGGGTCTCCCAGTAAAAATTGCGTTCGGGGGTAAAATACAAATTTTTTTGGCAGGGTTGTCCTGGTACAATTCACATTCCAGGGCCTAAATATCACGTTATTGGGGTCGCTTCAACCTGCTGACATAAAAAACAACCGGCGGCAATTGCGGATTTGGCAACACTGGTCTGCAAACTACGTTTCATATAACTCCTCCCCGAACTTCCCGCTGCCCTGTATCTTGGTCTCTCATTGGCTGTAGGTCATCACCGATGTGTTTTTCAGTCAGAACTCATTTCACACAGCATGATTGTGAATCGGTGACAGCTCCAGATATTTAGCATCCCAAATATTTCACGGGCGTCGGCGACGCATCGGCGATTCCCTCAGATCTCTTCAAACTGCGTGATTGTCACTCGCGTTAACGAGCACCGATTTGCCTCCGATTTCGGGCATTTGTC